GAGATTCAGATCAGCTGCAGGTTTGTGTAAAGCAGCAAAACGTGCATCTTTACTGATTTAACAGCGACTCTGGTGACAAGTCAGAGTGTTTGCAGACACATTTGTTTGACTTTTATTCTCAGGCTGCAGTTTTAGAACTTCCAGGAAATTTCTGGGCATTTTTTTCCCTCCTTTCTTTCTCTGCACACTGTTGAATTTCTATTATTTATTATATAAAATATTGGAAATTAAAACTAGAATCCACATGTCAAACATTTTAAGTGCCCACTGAAGGTGAAAACACGAAATGTGGTTTGGCATTCTTTGATGGCATGCTTTTATTATTATTTTTTATTTGTTTTTTAAAAAATTTAATTATTATTTTTTTATTATTATCTGTAACAATAAAATATTTGGGATTTTTTTAAAATGAGTTTTGGAAAATAAATAAAGGTTGGGCTCAACAAAATAAAAACTATATAACAGTTTGCATCAATCTATTTGAATTACGACAACATCTAATGAAATTGTGTTCAACCGACAAAAATTTTTAATATTTCCTCTGTAATCAAACATATTTTTAATTACTCAAGAATTAGCAGCATAAACACACGTTTTTTAGGACGATTACTTGTAAAAATTAAGTTGTTCCAACCAGTATTTTATGTTATTTGAAAAGGGATTTAAGCATCACATACTTCATTATGTAAATAATTAAGTTGGAAAAATAGAAATAAAAATAAATTTAAAGTTGCTCCACTGTTTGGCAGGAAGAGGAGAGGATGCAGAGATCCTGAACTTGAAGTGGAAAAAATGCAGAAATGTAAGTTTATATTATACATAATATAAAGTTGATGTAATTAAGAATGTATTTTTATTTTGCTCCGTGCATTTAATGAATGGGTCTGAACAGTGTGAACCAGGACAACCACATCCTATAATTGATTTAAGCGCCCTGAGTGGCATTAAGACAGAAATAAACCACATCCTGCCCACACAGCCACATGTATGAACGTATCGCTTTCCACAGTTCAACCCTGCAACCTGCACGCAGCCTTTAACGCAGATATAACGCAGATATAACTGAGATTGGATGCAGCTCGCCGTTTGAAGGCCCACTTTAGAGTCCTGCAGCCTCCTACACACTCACACTTTAGTGCACGAGCGGACACGTGCAGACTCATGTTGCCATGACGCTGCGTGATACCGTTAGTCAGAGCCGGAGCCAAATTTATCTGCACAATATCCAAAATTAACATGTTGTTCAAGACAAACCTGGAACCAAACCAGAAGATGGATGTAAACAGAGTTATTTACCACCGTTATGGACAAATACCGCAGGAATCAGGTTTCTTTCTTCATCAGAAAACGCTGCTCAGGCTGATAACTACCGACATATATCGACGGCTAAATAAGTCAGATGCTTACTCGGGCGGTGGATCGTTGGTTTCGAGGTGCTCAGGCTCAGATCTGT